ATGATTACTGGAGGTGGAGCAATATCTTGATTGGTACCTTTTAAATGATTAGGTGGGTAGCTTTTTCGTTTCTGAGACCCATTTTTAATAAAGTTTATACTTGCTTCAAGACTTCGAAGTTTTTTAGAATGAGTTTCATTCATAGAACTAATTGGATTTTTGTTCAACTGAGAAAAGTTTTGTTCTACAGTTTGTGAAATATTTTGATTCTGATTATTATTAGAGAATGCAAACCTATTAGTTAACCCTGTGCCATAAACCTTGTTTAAAGATTGAGCAGTGGAAATACTTTGAGGATGCAAATTTGGTGAAAAATTATAACCTAGATTGTTTGGTTGAATCTCTCTAACTATATTAGGACGCCATGTTCCTTGCAAACTATGATAACTCTGTATGTTTGGATAAGATGAAGGACTAACATATGTTCCAGAAGGTAGAGAATTAGTGGAAGGAACCATAAATCTAACACCATTAGGAGGCATAAAAAAAAAAGGTTGTGGTTGCATTGTATTTTGCACTGTGTTTCCAGTAAAATGTTGTAAATTCTGTAACTGATTTAAAACTTGTTGCTGTTGTAAATTAACTTGATTTTGGTTTTGAAGAATCTGATGATGAAATGATTGATGCATTGTAGGTGCTTGCTGAGATGTTGAACCTGAGGATGGGTAAAGTGAAGCTCGCTGATTGGTCTGAATTGGAATGAGGGGAGACACAAGATTAGAAGAAACTGATGGTTGTTGTGATGAATTCATTGACATTAAGTTTACAGAGACAAGTTTACCACTTGGCGTTCGAACAATAACATTGTTTTGAGGTATATTTGAAAAGGGTTGCGAAAGAAGATTTGGAGATACATTTGTGGTTTGTTGAAACTGAGAAGCATTAGGGAGTTGCATGTGAGGTAGAGCTGCTACAACTTGCACATTATGTGACGCCTGAAATGACTGGTTATTGATACTTGCAGATACTTTTAAATTATTGCTAACTGATGGAGAAGTAACTACTGATGGAGATGTAAGTACTGATTGAGATGCATTTTTTAAATGACTATTTTTTGTAGATTTTATTAGCAAATTGTGCACATTTGATGAGTTTTCGTCAGACTTTTTGTCAACAGAACTATTTAAAGATTTTGGTAAAATATTTGAAAATCGAGAGGTAAAAACTTTTAAACTAACAGGCGGATTTGAAACATTGGTTGTAGAATTGTCTATGTTTAAATTTGTTAATATAATATCCTTGTTTGTATCGAAGCTTTTACTTGAGAGGTGAGTAGATGTTGTAGTTTGGAGCACTAAATCATCATCACACTTGCTTTGACTAATTTCAGATTTCTGACTATGATTACTTTTATCAGATATATCATCTTTTTTTTTTTTTTCAATAGAATAACCCATATTTATATCCTCCTTTTTTTCTGTTTTATTTTCCTTAGCACCTCTAACTGGAGTAACTTTTATTCGAGGACCAGTCCTTGGGGGATCAACAGTAGAGGAAGTTGCTTTACCAGTATGCTTTTGTAAAGTAAGTGGTATTCGAAGACTAGCTGGTTTTGAAATGTTTATGTCTACATTTGTTGCATTTGAGGATTGAATAACTGGGTATTGAGCTGTATTTATCTCTTGCTCAATTCTTGCAGATTGTTTTTTTTTTTGCGGTGAGTATTTTGGTTTATTATGTGTTGCACTTTTCACTTTATGCCCTTTTGCAGAAAAAACTGCAAGCTCTAACAAATCATTGGAAGGGGGAGAAGGCGCATTCTTTTGAATGTCATTTACATTTTGATTTAGGCTGTTTTTTATATCAAAATCAGCTCCCATTTCTTTTAATCTATCTAAAAATTCAAATGATGCTCTGTCAGATGCTATGTAGTGGCTAACAGTAAAACCAGCATGATCTTGTAAGTTAATGAGGCGTTTTACATCATCAAAAGAAGAAAGTTGAACTAAACAAGCATCAAACATACTTTTACAAAACTGATATAAACGAAAAGGAGGCTTTTGTCTAGCTTCATCCTTTAAAAGCAAAACGGTATCTGAAATCATTTTTGCATTTATATGTAATGGAGTTTCTTTGCGTTTGTTTACAAATTTTAAGCAGTCAACAAACTCCCTTAAAAGCAAATTAAATTTTTTCGATAAAACATCCATATGTCCGTGTGTACAGTTAAATAGATACATATCTTTAACAAGAGTATGAAGTACATTGTCCCCATTTTCAGTAACTGTAGTTGTAGGCTCATGTCCAGACTGACTCAAAACAAATGAACAGGCACATTTACCCATAAGTGCTAAATAATGCAAAAGCGGATAGTCAGTGTTTTTCCACTGATCATTGATGCAATCGCTAGGATTCATTTGACCGTCAGCACCACCATAAAAACTTTCAACTTTTTGCAAAAACTGCATTGTAGTTGATGAGTCATTCTCTATGACTTTTCGAGCAGCAATTAGTAAAGGATGATGTGTTAATGTACAATTTGTACGGCAAAACGGCGGGCAATCTGGTCGAATACCTTTAGATTTTTTTGGTGAAGGTGTAAAAGGTGCAGTTTCATACTCATTAGACCACGACTTTCGCTTAATAACTCGCTTATTTGAACGTACGTTATTTTCCAAGGTATCTGATTTATTAGATAAACGCATTGTTTCAGTATCAGAAAGTTCTTTTTTATCAGTTATATCACTACTTGAAACATTGTTTAAATTATTGGTGTCAATTTTCATTTGCCATTTCACTTTCAACGAACTTTTTTCTTTTTTCTTTTTTTTTCCAGGTTTTTTACTATAAACATTATTTCGGTTTCTCTTTTTTTTACTTTTGGTTGACTCTGGTTTTGATGAAGTTATTAAATCATCAAAATCATTTGTTTCAAATGTTTCTGCTGAGATATCATTTGTACTCGACACTGTGTTCTCACTTGTATCATTCATTCTAAATAAAATTATTATAAATAGGTAAATATGCTCTTGTAATATATTGAAAGTGTTTTTAATTGTTTACTTATAGTATTGTAACACAATATATCACTTAGAATATGTTATATATAACATATAATTGTGCAGTAAAGCAAAAACAATATATTACTTTACTCTTTACTTTAAAAAAAAAATTTATATAAAAATTATAACTTCAAAAGTGAAAGAAAAAGGAATTTTTTTTTTAAAAAAGCACACAAAAAAAAACAAAACAATAACAACAAAAAAAAACACAGCAAATAAAAATAATTTATAAAAAGCATGCATATAATGTACATTATGAAAATAATATTTATTATTTAAAAAAATAACAATTCAATTAAACAAAAAGTATGAATAAAGAAGAAACATATGAATAATAAAAATATGTATTTTAAAACAAAAAACACCATGCTTTAACATTGTAATAATCTCATCACATTTATTGATAGCTTTAGAAATAAGTATTAGCTTGTTTCTACAAACAAAAATAAAAAAGTGTGGTTTCTTTTACAAAAAGAATGGTTTCTACTAAAAAAAGGTTTCAATAAGGTTGGTTTCTTTATAGAAAGAATAAATTTGGTTTTTTAAGTTATTAACAAGTATGATCCTTTTAAATCCACATTGTCTTGGTTTCTACTCCATAAATATTTATATTTAAAATAATTGCAACCAACCATGCATAACATATTCTGCATATATTTGCACAGCTTCAGAATGACTATAAATAATATAAATGAAAAACAGAAAACTTTTTAAAATATATATATTAGCCCATCACATACATATGCACATATATATGAATATATATAAATAATTTTAAAAAACATATATATTTATATATATATATATATATATATATATATATATATATATATATATATATATATATATATATATATATACATGTATTTAAAAAAATTAAACTAAGTAATTTATTTTGTTTTTTATTTCCCCCTAAGTATGAAAATTATAAATCATAAATTTGTATAGGTTATAATTTTTATAATTTTGTTAAAAATCTATTTTATAATATAATTTATAAGGTCACTTGTATTGTTAAAAATACAAAAGGAGTAAAACTTAAAAAAAACAACCAAGTATTAAATTAAAAATAGAGTATTAAAAAAATAAATAATAATATTAAAATAAATAAATAAACAAAACTAATATAAATATATATATAAAAAAAAAATGATTTTAAAAAACAAAAAAATGAAGCACTAATAATATAATAATATAATATAAAAACATAAAAAAATAAAAAAAGTTATAAAAAATAAAACAGTTTAAAAAAAAAACATAAATTAGGAATAATGATAGTATTATTTATAGCAATAATAATAAAAAATAATAATAATATGAACAAAATATTATTACAAATAATAAGTATAATATGATAATTATAATAAAAATTATAACTAATGATAAAATAAAAGTAAAAATAATTATAGTATCATATATAATTATGACACTAATTATAAACATAAACATAACAATTGTAAAGATAACAATAATAATAAGCTATTATTACAAAACCACTATTATTATCATTATAAACTATTCCTTAATTTAGTTTTGATATCATTATAAACTTAATTTAATTTAGTTTTGATTGACAAGAAAGTTATTAATAAAAGCGTATTTAGTTAAAATCTTTTTTTCTATTATTATTATTATTATAGCATATTTAGGTAACATTTTGTTATCCTATTTTTCTTACCTTAATTTATATTTTATTACCTTAATGTAGGTTTTTGTTTTCCTTTTTTTTTTTTTTAAGTTATGCCAAACCTATAGTCAATGTAGTGGCACTGCCTTGGGGCAGCAGGCTATAAGATAGTTGTTGTCTTGTTTTGTTTCTTATCTACATCAATGATCTTTCTGACAACCTTATATCTAAATTGGCTCTATTTGCTGATGATTCAACTTCAAAGCAAACTTAAAACAGGCAGCCGATCTTAAACTTGATCTCACTTCTGTAACATATTGGGGCTTGCAGTGGCTAGCAAATTTTAACTCCAACAAAACTCTTGAAAACAATCGAAATACTGCCAACAATCCTATATTGATTAATGACTACCCTCTCATTGAGTCCTCTTCTTTATGTCTTCTTGGATTATTGCTCACTACTGACCTTTCATGAAACCATGCTAAACAATCGATTGCTAAGTTAGCATCTGCTAAAGTTTCTTCTCTTTATTGTGCTTGCCATTATTTTACTCCTGATTCCTTTCTCTACCTCTGCAAATCTCTTATTTGCCCCTGTATGAAATACTGTTGTTATATTTGGTCTGGTTTTTCTAATGATGCTCTTTCTTTTCTAGACAATGCCCAAAAATGCAACCACTCTTCCATTGTCATAAGGTTGCATCTCTTTCTCTTTTTTTACAAGTCACAGTTGCTGCTCAAAAAACCTATTATCTCTTATTCCAACAACCAAAACTCATATTCGCCTGACTCGTCATTCAGCTAAGTCTCATCTTTTTATCTGTCCCTCCATACTCTAAAAACTTTTACTAGTCTAATTTTTTTTTCTTGCAATTCAACACTATGGAACTCTCTCCACCTTCATGTTTTTCTGACTCATACAACCTCCAACCTTTCAATTCTTTAACTGTTTCCATACTTTTTAACTCTATTCCTTGTTTTCTAGTAACTCCTAACTTAATAGTAGCTGATTGCACCTTAATAGAAGTGAAACTAAATTAAAAAAAAACAACTAAAATCATATTGAAATAGGCAGTGGAAAAAGGTTTCAGTACATACCAGAGATCATTCAGGTCATATTTCAAAAATCCGGAACACTTTGCATAAAAATAAAAAAATAAAAATCCAGAATTCATTTCCCTAACTAAAATCCCACTATCCCCTACTAAAAAATAGTAGAGGAGAGTGGGAACCATGACACAATTGGTTTTTGCTTTGTAATATATATATATATATATATATATATATATATATATATATATATATATATATATATATATATATATATATATATATATATATATATATATCAGGGTGGGTCAACAAACAACATTTTTTTAAAATCTGCAGCATTCGCCTTAAAGGGATCCCTAAGTGCAGAGAAAAGTAATATTCATATTTAAAAAAATGTTAAAAAAAAATAATTGGGCTAGATTTTTTTGATTAAAACTAAATGAATGCATACCAATAAAATGAAAATTTTTTGTTTTCGTCAAAGCTTCTGGTCTACATTGTTTTTTTGTTCTCCGAGTCTGTATAATGTTAGCCACAATCTGCTAAATCTTAAAAATTGAGTTTTTGATTTTGAAACTGTTCTTTTGGTAGATTTTTAACTTATGTTAAGAAACAAATTTTAATATAAAATACTTTAAAAATACGACATGAATTGAGAAATGCCAAATACACAACATTCTATAAAATATGAAAACTGTTGTGTTAATTAATAGTAAGTTCTCTGGATCTTATAAATGGTATAAAAAAGAGTACAAAATTATATACTTCACATTTTTATCGAATTGTAAGTTTTAAATCGAACTTTAAAATAACAATTTGCGCTGTTATTAGGTGCCGTCATAATGCAAACATATTGAGTTTTCATATATTTTTTTATCAATTATCCTCAGATTAAATAACTGCAGCTTTATGGAAAAAGGCAATTGGTAAATATAAAATTTGATGGTTCATGTTTCAGCAAGTCAAAAGAACAAATGACGAAAATAATCATTCCAAAATCAGTGCAAGGGCAGATCCATTGTTTGAAAACAGTTATTTTAAAAAGTTTTAAAAGTAAATTATGGAGGCTGTTAAAAAGTAATAAAGATTTCTTTAAAACTGCTTGTTTTGAGGATGATACCCCGGCAGAGGTTTCTAGGAATGAGCATTAAAACTTTTGAAATGTCACATACCACAGTATTGAATCTTTTTGAGGGTCCATTTCTTGACGAGAATCTGGTATCATACTATATTATTTACAAATTTATTCAACGCTGATGTATTTTTATACTCTTTCTTTGAGTATTTCTGTGCATACTTTTCCTTATTATAATATGTTTGTTTTTGTTTTTTTATAATACTGCAACTTGTTTTTATGTTTTATGTCTAACAAATTGAGGAATTTTGTAATATTATGTTAATTGGTTTATCAAGCCCTTACCTCAACGATGATAATCATTTATAATTGTATTTCTTTCTGCAAAATTTATTAACAAAATTATGACAATTACTCACATGATAATAAATTAAACAGTTTTAAACTACTTATAGTAGTTATTCCTACCATAATCAGATTTCTAATTTTTCTGCCTAACTTATCCATTTAATAATCCATATTATTGCTTTAACACACAAAAAGTTCTGTTGTTTCTTTCTGGTAAGTAAAGAGTTTTGGTTGAAACTGCAAAACCTACTCACCATTGTATCAAGTTTATTTAAGGCTTGAACCATTCAAATTAAACATAAACTAACATTAAACTAAAGAGACTGGATTGTAACAATTAAACTAAAGAGTTAGACTGGATTGTAACAATTAAACTAAAGAGTTAGACTGGATTGTACCAATTAAACTAAAGAGTTAGACTGGATTGTACCAATTAAGTAAAACAAAAATTAAACATTAAAAAGAAATATTTTCACAAAACTGTATAAAACAAATTAAGCGGAAAACGAAAACTTCCGATAAATCATGTAAATTAAATTTAAATTAAAATAAAATTTAAATTAAAATGCACTAAATATAAAACCAACAGCTGCACCATACGGTAAACACTTGATTTAAACATAAACTAAACTTAGAACGAATAATAAACTGTATAAAATTAAAGTAAATATAATCAAAAAAAAGAATGAATGGTGCCACTAAACCAAACAACCTAAATAAAATATAAATTAAATATATATTGAATATTTGCAATAAACAGAACTGGTTTTAACTAAATATTAACTAAATACTTAAAAAATAATTCTACTAAAACGTATATATTAATTTTT